TCAGATTCCATCAAAAATATCTTAATTTGTGTTCTGAAGATGAACGAAGGACTTGTGGGTTTGAAACAACATGAGGGTGAGTAATTAATAACAGAATTTTCATTTATGGGTGAACTAACCCTTTAAAATGTAGTTCAAAAGTCACTTGTAGGGGTTGCCCTTATGAACTTTTCCAGATACAGAGCATCTTTGGGGGACTGCGTTAATTGATTCTGGGTGCTCTGCAGATGCTGAACACATTTTCTTGGATGGTGGGGCGTAGGAAAGGTCAAGGATGTCATCATGGGGAGTGTGTCGCCTTATATCTTCTAACAGATCCATAAGGCGATCAGTTACTGAATCTAGAAAGGTCCCATCCTGTATGTGGCATGTCAATTCTGATATCTCCTTCAACAAGCTACAGCACTTCTCCCTTTTTTCTGCTGTAGGATTGGTCAGGATGGGCTCTGAGGGAGCAGCAGGAGAAGGACATCTCTCTGGACTAATACCATTCTCCTGATTCTTCTTCGGAGCCTCTTCGCCTTGAAGATCAGCAGGAAGTGTAGCAGATTGTCCCAGGCAAACCTCGTCAAACATGAAGAGAGGGTTCTTCCTGTACGCAGCGCTCAGATTCTCCCAACTCCAGCCAGGAACTAAGGTAAAAACAGCACAGAAATGCTGGCACGGGAGAAGATGTCTCCGCCAGTCCATGCATGTACATGAAGGCATCTCATCGTCTTTTCCAAAGTTCACCTGATGTCTTTCCTGTGACATTTGACTCTGAACATTGAAGACGTTCTCTCCAGCAGATGTTATGTCACTCGCATTGAAGAGCAGCGACTCTTGGCACCTTTTCATAATGTGTTGAGCCATAATTCTTGGTCTGTATCCTGCATAACAAGGCACGTTTGTGCTGTATTTGCGTGAGCCACTTGAGCATTTGATATTCAATTCAACATTACCTGTATATGGGGGAAAAAAAGATTTTTAGTTAGTCCAGTTCATGTTCAGTTTCCTAAGCATTAAATTAATCTCACAAAAACATGTCCAGGTCACATTATAGCTAATATATTGCTAATATTCCTTTATAGCTAATATAGTATATATATACACATTATACCAATATTATACTATGTATAATATTATACATTGTTATTCATTATACTAATATATTATTATATATACTTAAATATTGTATTTGATTAGCAAACAATATTTTATATTAAAATAATATAACAATAATATATTATATTAAACAATATTTTTCACAAAACAAAAATTGTATCTTACATATATTAGTATAAATAAAATGAAGCCTACAGTACACACACACACACACACACACGTGTATATATATATATATATATAATTCTCTATGCATGCATGTATATTGCAGTAAAACATTACTGTATTTTTTTCATTTATTACTGTGATGATTTAATACTTAAAAATAATAATAATTAAAATCATTAATATATTTAATAATGTTTTCTAATAAAAAATATTTTCTCACATTTCTGATGATTTTTTTTTATTATGTCACTATCCAAAAAAAGGCTTCACTTTCATTTAGCAAAATGTATTATTTTATTACTTTTTTTTAGGTTTAGGTTTAGTCCAGTTCTTTACTTTTGATACGATCTCGGCAGGAAGTTGCTTATAATGACTACTAGTGTTTCGCTGAGTCTGCAGTTTCTGTGTCCCTTTAGGTGTGAATGCTTCAGGACATCCTTTTGTCTTTGCCACCTCTAGTTCAGGAAATAATAGAGCATTACTTGTGTCATATTAGTTTTCACACTCTCAACATTACTGATAATAACAGAACTGACAACAGAATAACATACTCACCTCTGCATGAACAAGCCATGTGCTGACGAACCTTCTCAGCTTCTCATTTGACTGCCAGTCTGGATGTTGTTGAAGGGTAACAGTGTTGTTCTCAAACTCCTCATTCGTCTGAGAATCTGCAATGGCCTGTAGAAGTTTAAGAACCTCTTCCTGAGATGTCACACCATTGTCCTTTTTTCTTATCCACTCCATCCATGCCTTCTCTCGGTGAACATCACAGAGGAGCACTTTAGAACCTATGATGACAAAGATGCTCATTTGTCAGATTTGACATTTTCAAACATTTTGGAGCAACTATCTACTTAAGACTCAATACAACAGACTGAAAGACTACAAGAAGAGGTTAACATAAATCAGTAATGGCCTTCAACATTTCTAAAATCAAGAACTGAAATAATATTAATTTATCTGAATCGCCGAGTTCGGACAGTAATCGATTTTAAAACGCTAAGAATCGAATGAATCGCGATTTCTCAAATTTCAGACTCATCACCTATGAAAGTTTACTTGACATCCAGTACAGTAGGTGGCGATAATGCTCCTAAGGAGTTATTCGCCATAAAACAAGAAGAAGAAGAATCACGATTTTTTTATAGCGATTCAATGCTTTCAATATATATATATATATATATACACTGTAAAAAATAAGTGTAATTTTAACTGTAACATTTTGTAAAAACGCTACGGAAAAAAACTGCTAATAGGTTAACAGTAAGTTCCCGTACTATATACAGGGAAAAACTGTAAAATATCTAACCAGACATTTAATGTAATTTTACAGTAAAATGCTGTTAATTTGACAGTTTTTAGAAGTAAAAATAACAAATCAATGTATAATTTACAGTCAAAAACTGTAAACTGATATTCCCAGAATTCCCTGCATGACACTCCACATTTGAAAGTATTTTGTTTAAATAATCATGTTTTTTAAATAGTTTTTGTTATTAGTTATGTATAGTTGGGCTTTATGTTACATCTTCTGTTGTTTAATGAAAGTTTAATGCATTATTTAAGTATAATGTGTGTTACCATGATGGTGTTTTGTGTTTGCATGAATGACTCTGTGCACCTTCTCTATATTAGTATATACTTCAGCTTGTGGCGAAGCTACTTGTGATGAGCTTTGATTCTTCATGTGGCTTTCTCTTTTACCACCTGCATTATTATGGTGGTTGTCAGTATGTTAAAGGTACAAAACAGATTTTAATAGCAGTGTGCATTG